TGTGAACCTCCATGCGCAGATTTCGTGGCAGGCACCGCACTGTGTGAACCTCCATGCGCAGATTTCGTGGCAGGCACAGCACTGTGTGAACCTCGAGGTGCAGATTTCCTAGCAGGCGCAGCGCTTTGTGAACCTCCATGTGCAGATTTCGTGGCAGGCGCAGCACTTTGTGAACCTCCATGCGCAGATTTTGTGGCAGGCACAGCACTTTGTGAACCTCCATGCGCAGATTTCGTGCCAGGCACAGCACTCTGTGAACCTCCATGCGCAGATTTCGTGGCAGGCACAGCAGAGCTGGAAGCTGAGAACTGGTGACTTTGTTTTACAACTTTAGTATGCGGAGCAATCTGTGGAGCTGGAAGCTGAGAACTGGCGACTTTGTAGTGCAACTTTAGTACGCGGAGCAATCTGGGGAGCTGGAAGCTGACAACTGGCGACTTGAGCAATCTGTGGAGCTGGAAGCTGAGAACTGGAGACTTTGTAGCGCAACTTTAGTGCGCGGAGTATCTGGGGAGCTGGAAGATGAACTGGCGACTTTGTAGCACAACTTTTTAGTACGCGGAGTATCTGGGGAGCTGGAAGATGAGAACTGGCGACTTTGTTTTACAACTTTAGTACGCGGAGCAGTCTGTGGAGCTGGAAGCTGAGAACTGGCGACTTTGTAGTACAACTTTAGTGCGCGGAGTATCTGTGGAGCTGGAAGCTGAGAACTGGCGACTTTGTAGCAAAACTCTAGTACGCGGAGCAAGCCGTGGAGCTGGAAGCTGAGAACTGGCGACTTTGTAGTACAACTTTAGTACGCGGCTGAGTCATCTCTATTCAATATTTTGCAAAAAATATATGAACAACGTTTTTTCCTGCGAGACAGTTGACGGTGGTTGCTTCGCTTTCGCTCCATTGGTCGGTTCCAACTTGTTTTGCCAAAGAACATCGCAGCTCGGCGAATCAGCCTGCCACATGCCCATTTCCTATAGGTTTATTCTTTTGGAAACTTCCGCCGCCGGCTTGCCCGGGAACTACTTGTAAGCTGCTCTGTCAAGTGTGAAGCAAAAGATTACACCGGCACAAGCCCTACAAATTACATTTGATGAGAAAACAACTGGATAACTGGATCTCAAATGAAAAACACGCTTTTCAACGTGACACCTAGTTGCGATCTGGGTCTGAGGATTCCAGGGCTCCAGAAAAGGTGTGATCAAAGCCTGTTTCCAGGTTTCCATATGGAAAGTTGCGATCAGGGCTTGTTTTGTGGGCTCCAGGCAAAAAGTTTTGATCAAAATCCCAAAGTTCCAAGTTTCCAGGCTTGCGGGCAAAGGGCTGGATCAGGGTCTGGCTTCAAGAGGAGTTATCCCCCCGACCGCGCAAATGGTGAGAGGTGGAAAAACGACGCGCGTTTTTTCCAGCAGCTTTGCCAAAAGTGAATCAAAACTAAAGGAGGATGCGGCGCTGGCCTAGTTGAACCTGGGTTTGTACCAGCTTGGGCACAGAACTCTGGTGCCATTTCGGAGTGTTGTCATTGTGCCATTTCGGAGTGTTGTCATTGGAGGCCTTGGCAAGCAGGTCGGGGGATCCAACTGGCAGGATGTGCAGTCGGGAATGGATGGGCCCGATGGGCCGGCTTGAGTGTGCGATACCATTGCAAAAAGGTGTTCTAGTGCTCCGAAACCGACTCTGCCATAGACATCTAGCAGCAGCACTCTGCGGCGGCACCAGCAACCGCAGCAGCAGCAGCAGCAGCAGCACCCTGCAGCGGCACCAGCGCCAAGGCTCCAAAGCACACACACGCACTTCTTCCCATACTTGAAGTAAGAACCCCAGTAGCTCTCAGTGTCTGAAAAATATTGGCCACAAACATGAGGCATGCAAATGCTCCTCCAGCACCTGTCGCATACACGCAAACCCCCCCTGAAAAGACCATGGGCGATCAGCACCGCATGCCAACAACACAAAAACTACAGAGAACACACCGCAAAAACGTATCCCCTTCTTCTCCTGTTCTCCGAGATACTGAACTCCACGGACCAAAGCGGTACCCATACGCCCACTAAAGAAAGGATCTTCGCCATAGCTCTCTTGCGCTCGACCCCAGTTTAACCACGGCAAAATGTTGATCGTGGGCAAGAGCGCGGCGTGGATGTCAAGTTGCTCTGCAATCTCGCCTTGCGCACTCTTGGAGCCAACAGCCCGCTTGAAAGTTATTCCCCTTGTGACCGTCTTGCTGTCAACCCCTACTTCAAAAGCCGCAAAAACACGAATCGCTTCCAAAGCTTCCCACCCAAGAATCTCACCTATAGCTTGGCCGATCGATTCTTCCAGCCTCAAATCTGACGCAAACCATGTGAGAAATCGGTGGGAAATCATAGCCACACGCATACATGCACACGCTTAGATGCATCAATGCGCAGATCTGAGAAAGGCGAGCTGCATTGGAAATAGAAAGAGCATCAAAAAGGACTACATTGTGGTTGTTAGTTTCGTGGCCATATTGCAATTGGAACGGGAACAAGCATCACAATGAATGGCCGAGGGCGCGATGCGGTGTTTGCGGCAAAGGGAAGGTGGCAGATGGTCGGGAGCCGATGAATTATATATTCACAAAGTTACGCGTCTCACAACGTGGAGCGTCTCCTAGTTCCCGATCAATTGGCCTCAGTTTGTCTAAGAGTTCTTCGCGTCGCAGTTGAACTCCTTGCCTTTCAAATGCCAGGGACAACATGCACACATACTGACAAAGGGTGGTTGGGCATTTGAATCCGCCGTATCCGAAAAAGTACCCGAAACAGCCTTTAGACAAAACAGCAAGGGAGATACAAAATTGCTTCGAACGTCGAAGGTCATGAACAATGCAGCCAATGAGCAGTCGGAGCCGGCAGGCACAAGTTCACACGCCATATGAAACATCCCACAGGTCTGCCGTGGCTTGGTAACATGGAGGACATGGCAACATCTGAATCTGAAGGCCTTGTGGCAACAAGCGAAACGGTAGAATCCTACAACTATCAACCTGAGCTTTCGGCTGCAGGTGGATGAATCCACCCACACATGCACCACAGCAAAAGGCCAGGAGAACTAGCAAGAATAGCAACGGCCGACCGACTACAAGCGGACGCCCTAAGGCACTTCATGCTCACAAAAGGCACATCGCAGCATGGCCACGCAATTTTCAGAAAGGCACATTTGCTATCACAAAAGGCGCATCACTTTTGAGGAACACCATGGCCACGCATTACGCACCACGAGTCCCAAAACCTCAACAACAGCTGCCCGAAGCACCATTTACATTGCAGGGAAGCATCGTCAGAGCATTGGCGCGATGTTGTTCAGGCATGGAACCCTCATGGCCACGCCATCACAGCTGCATCTTACTTGAGACCTTTTCACATTACTTGACCATCTTTGGCGCAGCAGCAAAACCAAAAGCAAGTTTGGGGTAACAAAAGGCACATCAATTTTGAAGAACCCCATGGCCACACATCATGCACAACGAATCCCAAAACCTAACAAACACATTTGCCCGAAGCGCCCTTTACATTGCGGGGGAGCGTATTCAAAGCGTCGGCGCGATGTTTTCAGGCATCGAACCCCATCACAGCTGCGTCGTACATTTGGGTATTGTCGTTGTTTACTGGTTTTTGGTAACCTGCGCGAATCCCCATGGCCACACACGATTGACATGGATATGGGCAGACTACAAACATGGGCGGGATATCAAAACACCCATGGCCACGCACGATGGACATGAATATAGTAAAACTAAAACATGTGGCCGGGATAGCTAACCGCCATGGCCACGCAACATTGGCGCGCCTTTTTGCTACGTGATACGCCTTAGGGCAGGGACCCAGTACAAGTAGGCTGCATTTGTTACAGAGCGATATCTGCGGTTAAGCTCCACTGCACGCGGTCGAGTTGTAATTTTCTTGAGACATTGGTTCTGCGCCGGGTGGTGGGATTTCGTCTTTGGCAGGCGGGATAACGTCAAACAACCGAACGCCAAATCTTTTTAGAGTGGGCAGTTGAGTTTGCCTTGCCCCTGCCAGTGGGCGTGAATTGCATGCGTTGTGACATGTCAGCTTTCATTTGGCGCCAAAAACAAGAAAAACAACATCAGTCTGAGTCAAGTCACATCTGCCTATTTTTTGAAATGGAAACGTATTGTGAGATTGCAGAGCGAGGTTATAGACCCGCAACTGTGATTCTACCCAAACAAGGGGCACAGTTGAAAGAGACGCCCAAGGACGTGCGGTGGGTGATTCTATCGTATTGTGTATGTATGTATGTATGTGTGTATGTATGTGTGTATGTATGTATGTATGTATGCATGGATGTATGTATGTATGTATCTATTTTTCTCCTAGAGTGTTTTTTGCGTCTGTTGAACGAGGGCCCTTTGGCCACGTCGGCGCGGCCGCAGCTTGCCAGCAGCAGAGGTGGTACTGTTAGAAGTAGTCCACCTGGTAGTCCTCCACGTTGGGGTCTTCTTCGACCGTTTCTTCTTCAGCTGCTTCTTGCTGGCTGGGTGTCATGGCCGGTGCAGCTGGCTGGGAGCTCAAGCTCTCTTCAGAGAAGCGGAGCTTCTTGGAGCTGGAGGTGAGTAGCCTTCGGCTGGCATGGTGAGCTGCTTTGGCGTGGTGGGCGCCGGCTGGGTGTCATGGGCAGTTGTCGCCTGGCTTCCTTTGGCTTGAGTGCCAAAAAGCTGAGGCAATTGGGTCTGTCCCTTGCATTCATTGCAGAGCCCTTTGGTCAAAATGATACGGTCCGCTTCATCAAGATGATTGTGGAGTCCACAGTTGCGGCATTTAATGCCCTTGCCTTTCTGCCACAGGCTGTGGGTGGAATGAGCGCCGTGGGGCTTAGTGAACACCTCATCAATGCAGCGGCTTTGGATGAAGCCGTTGAACAGGTCCTCATTGGCTCTCTTGTGGACACTGCAGCCACACTTGTCACATGTGAGATATCCTTTGATCTCCTGGAGCCAATGATGCTCTGGCTTGGGCGGTGTGTTCTGTTGTTGGTCAAGTAGCTGACGGATGACCTGTGCTCTGGTGAGCTTTTTGGGCATTGGCTTGCGTGGACTGCGCTGCTCGAGCTGGTGCGCTTCGATGCTGAGCTGGGGGCAATCCTGGCGCAGTCTTTCCTCGATGACTGGCACAGTCAGGGCCTGGTGTACCCGGATTCCACAAGCCCCACATTGAAAGCCATTACGGTGTGATTGCTGCGGCGATGTCCACGGTTGGTGGCACTTGGAAACAAGTTGTTTCTGGTATTGCTTGGTTTGCTTGCCAAGATGTCGTGGTGCTTTTTGATGGATGTAGTGGTCTTTGTTGGCATAGATCTTGGCCAGCCTTGCCACTGCGTGTTTGTAGATGTCCAGGCGGTCATCATCTAGCACCTTCTGCCATTCCGTTTGTTTTCGGTCACGCATGCCGTTGGCCCTCTCCCAAGCAACTAAAGCTGCATCACGTTGTCGTCTTCTGAGCTGTGGTTCATTTCCAGGGGCCTCTGGTGTGCGTGTGTTCCGGATAGATGGAGGACTGTCACCCTTTGCAAGTCGTGTTCGGTGATGTGCTCGAAGAGATCCTGGTAGGGCTGCCTTTGTCGGGGCTGTGTCCAAACTTCCCAAACATGTATGTATGTATGTATGTAGAAAGGCGATCGTCTGAAAAATCGAAAACTTTAGGTGTTTCAGAAGTTGAGGAGTCTCCATCCATGTGGAGAAGTCGTTTCTCCTCACCTGTCTCCAGCTATGTTTTCCCGAAAAGTCCAAACGTCCAGCTCTTCTTGGAAGTCAAAAAATTGACAAGTTTTTCTCAAAGAGTCAAAATGAAAACTTCAGGCCAGCAGTGAAAACGAAAGGTGCGCCACTGTGTAATAAGAATCAACAATGCCGAACCGTAACGGCCAACCTACCGCTACCTTGTCTTATCTTAACATGAGGCGAAATGGGTGTTCAAGTGAAATATCACTGTGAAGTATCAAGCGAAATGAAGCAAAAACATACTCAGTTCGTCCCCTCGCGCCTCTGAGGAGGGCGCGGTTCTTGTGGTGGCGAGGGTCATCCTCTGTCCAAAACTGTTTGAGCTTTCTTTTTCGGCCGTGGTTGACTTGGTTTAGTTTGTTTTTGGGGTTTGGTTGACTTGGTTTGGCTTGCAATAGCTGGAGGGGTTGCGGGGAGGGCACAGCGTCTCCCCCGAAGAGAAACCAAGCGCCAACCCGCTTAGCCACCGAAAAATTACAAACTGCGAACACAAAGAGATGTGGTCAAAGCCTAGCCGCCTAGCCATCGAAATCCACGAGAACCACCAAAAGCACTACATTAAGGGCCAACAAAACAAAACATAGCCACACAAGCCACCAAAGGCCAAAAGCCGCAGAAGCCACCGAAGACAAAAGCCGCAAAAGCAACAGGTAGAACCAAAAACAATAGAAATAAACATAAAATTAAATTCCTTCGTCCAATGTCCTCCAAAAAGTTGAAAACAATCAAGTTTCCTCGTTTTCGCGCTGATAGTGCGCTAGCTGCAGGTAAACCACTGATTTGAAAAGGACATCGGGTTTTGAGGTCCCCCAATCCAAGGACAAATCAACGTAATCAACTTGGCACACAGAAAATTGACTGTCCTCGAAAAGATAAAGAGTGTCTTTAGCGGGTCATCAACGGTTGCGGGTTTTTAGCGGTATACTTTATTGTGTTTCAGTTGGTTTTCTTTTTGAGGCATCAGTCTTCTGTAGCTTTAAAGAGTTTCAATTAGTTTCAACCAATTGTTTTTGTTGTATATTTTGAGAGCTGGGGGCTGTGGTAGTACAATTTTTTAGTGTTTCTCATATGATTCTACCTCACTACAGTTTTGCAATAGTACAAATCTATCTACCATATCTTCTTTCAGTGATATTGTACAAAACCATATGACAAACATTTTTACGCTATTTTGATGTTCTTGGTTTCAGTAAAATTATAGTGCAGGGCGCTGTGGGTGTGCACCTTTTTCTTGTTTCTCATATGTTTCTACTTCATTACAAATTTTGCAATGATATAAATGTATCTACCATATCTTCTTTCATTGATATTATACAATACCTGTTGTTATATTTTACATTAGTCTATCAAAGGACCTATATGACAATAGAACTTATGAAACGTTGATGCACTATCTTTCCAATAGATTTAGAGCGCAGGGCGCTGTGAGTGTGCACCGGTTTCTTGTTTCTTAAATGCTTCTACCTTGTGTCACGTGATAGAAATGTAAATGAAGCAGCTCAACTGGGCTCAACTGGTGAGTAATTATGCTTTGCAGTTTTATCTTTAGTATATGTTTG